ACACACACACACACACACACACACACACACACTATTACATTGTATAAATTTTATATATAAAGTGTATCCTCTATATTTTAGTGTATGCCCAATGTATCGTTAGTGTATATTCATGGCTCCGACTTCTTTGCAGCAACCTTACAAATGTATGTATAATGTATATATGTTATATAATAGGTGTATGTGTACGATTATATAATTTATATACATTATTTATACAATGTAAATGTTGTTGGTCGTTTAATGGTGTTTTGCTGGCCATGAACTCCATGACTCTTTTGGGATGAATTTTTGTGCATTTGCTGTGAAGAAGTGAAGGGTGAAGTGTATTTGTGCAGGTAGTTATATAATTAGTGTATCTCATATATAATAAATTCATATTTAGTATATCTTTTGTATAATCTGTGTAACTGTATACACTTTGAGTTTTTATAAAGTATACACTAACTATATATACTACACAATATGTATATATTGTGTATGTATACTACATAATATTTATATATAGTATATACAAATTATATACATAATTTATACACGATTGATACATATTGGCAAGTGTATTTTTGTATAAAAATTATATATAACCCATTAGATGTGTATAGAAGATGTATATTTTCAATTATATAGTATATAAAAGTTTTATATATAGTATTTTCTGAGTTTGACAATGTATTCTTAGTGTATTCCGAGCGTGTTGTATATTTTAAGTGTATAAAAAATATATATATTGTTCAACAATGTATAAAAAAGTGTCTATACACTCTATACTAGTGTATAATATGTATAGTACGTGTACAATCCATACATCACCTTCTTTCTCTTCTTGTTATATCATGGGTGTTTTACTTATGCAATATTATATTTTTCTAGATTGGATCACTAAAAATTTTTTTTTTTTGTAAAAGATAAAATTGGGATTGTAATTTGTGTATAATAGGAAGAAGTTTGGTGGTTGTGGAGAAGACAATTGGTTTCTCTTTTGTAATTTGGCGAAGTTTTTTTTTTGCAATTTTTTTTAGTTTCTCTTTTGAAAAATATTTTATTTTTTTTGAATTCACCAGCTCTTTGGACTTTTGACCGAATTATTCTGTTTGTGTAATTAAAAAAAACTTATTTGACTAAAATAGTTTTATACTTTACATTGCTTTGGACTGGAGATATATTACTTATTACTGTAAATGAGATTTCTAAGATAAAAAATCACTTGAAATACTTGACATGGTTTAGAATGCGACTAGTGGAATTTCTATTTCACTGGCTAGCTATGATAATTAATTTTTGGCTTCAACTTGCATAATAGATTTGTGGGCTAGAAATTGTCAAAAGTTTTAGCCGAGCAGCTAAAAGTGAAATTGCCTCATTATATAACACATACAAAGCTTCAAAACAAAAGACTAAGGGCTCATTTGGCCATAAAAAAAATTCACTTTTTTTTCGGAAAATTTTCACGTTTTTTCGAAATCAATGTTTGACCATGAAATTTTCAATTTTCACTTGAAGATGAATTTCGGAATTTTTCGAAAATTTTAAAAACTCCAAAAAACTATTTTTCAAAATTTTCACTTCATATCACTCATAAAAATTCAAAAACAGCCCAAAATTGTATTCATGTCTAAACACAACTCTAATTTTCAAATACCATTTTCACTTGAACTTTTTTTCCACTATTTTCCGAAATTTACAATTCTTATGTCCAAACGCCCACTAAGTGGATCAAAGCAATTTAAGAGTAAGGGGCACTTAATCCTGTTGTAAAAATATGTTAATAAAGAAAAGAAAAATGGGAACATAGTATACAGCAATTCACAGTAAAACAATTTTGACATAACTTTCTGGTAGGCGAGATTCGAGTTTGAAGCAACAACATTCTTCTCTTGTCATTGCTGCTTCATTCTTCTCTTGTCATTGCTGCTTCATTCTTCTCCCTTATGGCACAAAAGTTCAGAAAGGCGGCACTTACTGCTTTCAGCATCACAAGCATGTCACGCAAATGGCTCTATGCGATGAAGTTTATACTGATCTCATTGTCTCTTCGGATACTCCCTCGGTCCAAAGATGGTGGATCCAATTCTCACGTTGGTGCTGCCCATTTCTATCTGCAGCATTACCATAGACAATCAAAACAGGACCAGTTTCTTAGCGCAGCTTATATATTCTTTGTATGAGCAAAACAGGACCAGCTCATTTTTTTCATAATTCATGCTTACTTCAGGAACAACACGGACTATACAAATAGACAACAAAATATATTCGGAAATCCATTCGCAGAAAAAGAAAAATGAATTACATGGTCATCTCGAACATTTGCAACTGATTCATAAACTTCTTTCGTCATTTTGGTTGAGATTAAGTCGAGGAAAATATATTTTTGCATTAGCACGCTAGAGGCCTTAAATTAAACTCAAAGGACAATCAAGAGATTGATGGACTGTCCGCTTTCACATGATAAAAGCAGCAGTAAAATGAAACTAGCAAAGAAATTTATTAGAAGAAGTGATTCTTTCAATCAGATTATTATTTTTTGGATGAAAGAGATCAGATTTTTATGAACAAGGTAAGAGAATACCAGCTTACCGCTAGCTCAAAGTCACTAGACATGCCCATTGATAACTCACATTGAGACTCCCCCATACCAAGCACCTTGCAAACTTCAGTTCTACAGTTCAATAGCGTCTATTGCATTACATCAAGAAAAATGGTGATCAGCAATTTGGAGAAATGGGAAATTTCATGAAGGACTCAATATAAGCATTTTTGTCATGAAGCTTCCAATATGCATGACTCAAGTCCATTCATTCGATAACAAACTTCTTAAGAATTCCATATAAGTAAATAACTTAGCACAAGAAATGCATCCGTCTATTATACGTAAAGTTTAAAAAAAAAGAAGGAAAGTGAACTTCCGATAACTATGAAGAAAATTGTTATGGTGACTATTATCATTGCCCAAAAAGACCTGCTTTCAGTAGTTTACAAATATTTTTCCTTTGCATCTTTCATTACAGGGTGGGACATCTTCAAATGGCTTAGAGAGCTTGGAATTTTTACAAGTCATCTACAACTAAATTTCGGATTAATTACAGAATATCACCTTGAAGTTTTCTGGGGTTGAAGTGTAGTCAGGCCTTCCAATTGTCATTAGGCCAGAGAAATCAAGGTTTGGGCAATCCAGCTTGACATGTTTGGCCAGCTCTGTGCAATTTGATGGATCAATACCAGATTTTGCTGTAGATAGTTAAATTAACTAATTCATCAGTTCCTTGGAAGTAGGAAGAATGGGGAAGAATGGAGGCCTTCCTTTGTTGGCCTTGAACGTCATAAAAACAAGCATTGTACGGTTCAATCAAACATGCATTACTAGCGGTGAGAAAAAAGAACTAACAATTCAGAGTTTCAAAATTAGCGAGATTTCATCTGCATTCTGCAAGTTTAACCGGAAATCCGAGGACTTGAAGCAATGTGTTAGAAACCTTTCATAACCTAGATCCCGTTTGGATTAGCTGATTTGAAGTAGCTGATAAGCATCAGGTGCTGAAAAGCACTTTTAAGTACTGCAACTGATTTAATAAATAAGCAGTTACGTGTTTGGATACAAGTGCTGAAATTGATAATAAGCTGCTGCAGTATTTGATAAAAAAGTGCTGATAAGTTTTTTTCTGTTAAAATGACTTAAATAACCTTATAATTGTTTATACTTATAAAGGCGTAATTTCTTCAAAATTTTAGATTCTAGATCGATTCAAATATAAAATATTCTATCTGTCATTTTATTTTAAATGCAACTGTGCTTAGATAAGATAATTTTTATGATAAATATAATTTATTTTATGATAAGCATATAATCATAAGTTATAATAATTAATAAATTGACAAAAGTTTCTCAGTAAAAAATAAACCTAAATAGGACAAAATATTTGAAGAGAAACAAACATTATCTTCATCACCACAACACTTAGAAAGCAATACACCAAAAAATTGATATGTCCTCATTTATTACATGCAGTTCAAAGATTAATACACAATTACATTGATACAAATATGCAAAGGAATAGAGGATTCGCTTATCTTAAATAGTCAATGAGAACTGCAGACTTGAAGAGGGGTGTGTGTGTGGGGGGGGGTTAGGTTGAAAAAATACTTGAGGCGACGATTATGGATGTAGGAGTTTTGTTCTAAAAAAGAATATTTTAAGGATAAAATAGTAAAAATCTTGGACAAACTTAAAGTGCTTATAAGCTAAAAATTCATAAGCTGAGGGTGACCAGCTTATGGCTTTTGGCTTATTTTTGACTTATAAGCACTTGGCTTATAAGCACTTTTAACTTTACCAAACGCGTAGACAAGCCGAAAAGTGCTTATAAGCTAGTTTTAGCCAAACACCCTCTTGGAGGAGGAAATAAGATTCTGCTCCTAATACCAAAAACCTAATAGCATGCAGAATCTTATCGCTAGAGTCATCGCAAGCCCAACTAGTCTCTTTCAGGATCTGTAAGCAAGAATGAGGAGGAAATATACTCACACTCTTCTCCACTGGTATTTACTTGAACCAAAACCTTCAGAGGTTGCCTGCCAATGCTTGAAACCATACGATCAAGATGATTTGCAAGCTGTAGATTAGAAAAGGTATTATATGATTGATCAACTCTGTTCGATTCCAACAATAATAAGCATTCAACGAGACTCTAATCTAACAAGTCAAACTTATTAAAGCTTCAGGTTGTGTCTGACAATGACCAGAAGGAACTCAGGAGGAAAACGAATGAAATAGCACACTCCTCCGTGCTCAGTTTATAAACCGACAGTGTTTTCCCTTTGATATAATTATTGATGTAATGATAACCATGTGGAGCTAACTTTTATTGATTTCAATGCTTGTTATCCTGCTGAACTCTGAAAGTAAATTAAAAATCATACTGCTGCTAACTTAAAGGAAATAGAAGCAGCATGTAACATTTTCAAGATTCAACAGAAAGACTACTCCTCACTCCTCAGGTTCAATCAAGCATTAAAAAAGAGGTAAAGTCTTTACCTTCTGATTATCAACACCATGAACCATAGCTAGATTGGGAACAGCAGCTGCAACAATGGAGGTAAACTTTACACAACTGTAAGATGATGTTTATCCCATTTACAAATACAAGCAGAAATGTTTCCTGAGACTAAGCCCGGGGGGGGGGATTTAAGGTAAAAGTACGTAACTGAATCTTTTCATAGAAATAAACCAAAAAACCAACAGCCAAGCCAATAAAGATTGACTCAAGAACCAATTTCATTCTGAGCTCCATTATAGATTTCAAAAGAAGATAATACATTTGAGAGAAAATACGCAGGCTTGTAGTTCCCCAAGTTAAGCATCGAAAGGCAATTTGGCCCTATTTGGATACTAAAAAGAAAAGCTTTTATACTCGAGTCAGACAATTCGACCTTATCTTACAGACAATTAGCACAAAGAAACAAACTTTTAGTTGGAAACAGTTAGAAGATAATACACTGACGGAAAAAAATGCAGACTTGCATTTTAGAAACATCGCAACTGGAAAAGAATCAAATGAACTAAATACAAGATCCTATGGAAGCTGGATCATAACAAAACTAAATTCGCACATATATTTGAATAAGCTCGTACTCAGGAGTTGCTTCACTTTGTTGCTCTGCAAATGCCCAATATAATGCCATTCAATGTCCTCAGGAAGCTGCATTTCAAGAACACGTACTCAATATTGCACAAAAAAAAAAAAAAAATCAACTACTCAATTACTCCTTTCTATATTAGAAAAAAATTATTATTACACCTTTCTATATTAGAAAAAATTAAATTTTAATAAGATTGATTTATAGTCACACAAATATATATACAATTTATTTTAAAACACAATTTTCAAAAGTTTCTTTTTTCGTGCTATGCCACACAAAATGGGATGGAGGGAGTATGTTTCAATCCCAAATTAACTCAGCTACATGAATCCTTTATATCTATTCAGCTCCATTTACATCCAATTTTTTTTCCTGTAAACAATTTGTCACAACCTAAAACTCAATTAGCGTAACCACTGCTGAAATGGAGCAGATGAGTACCTCGGGAGCCTTCTGGATAATCTCTTGGACGTAATTTTCACCGAAACATCGGTGACCAGCATCATAAACTTGGTTAATTAGAGAAATAGGCTTAGTCTTGCTCACGGCCACCACTCTCACGTCATCAGCGCGGCGGCCGGACCTTTCCGCAGCTTGCCGGACACGGTGGAACACCGACCGGAGCGCCGTAACGGCCAGACCCTCGGCAGCCGGAGCAGCCATCGCTTTGTTTTCTCTCTGTTTGATTCCTGATTCTCTCGCGCGCTAATCATTGTTTATTATAGTTTCTGTTTATAATCACCAAAAGAATGGTAGGTAATTGTTTACGTCAAGAAATGGACGCCACACATAACAAGTACAATAAAACCTCACCATTTTTTCTATAGATTAATTTGCATTTGAGAAATTTATTTCATTGAATATTTGAATATATAAAAAAAAATTAAATGTTATAAAGATTAAAAAAAAAAAAAAAAAAAGATATTCATATTATTACCAATTANTAAATTTATATTTATTGACAGGAGATTCATGGGCAACGCTATGAGACACGTAAGCCCTTCTCCCACCAGTTTGTTTCATCTTTTTCTTCTATCTTTTCCTTTTTCTTTCACTCCCCTGTCCACCCCACTTCAGTTGAACTCATTCGTTCGCCCATATTTTCTTTCACCTTGGAATGTTTGTTCTCTTTTTACAATGATAACCCCTTTTGAGGTTCTTTAGTATTTCAATTTATTACAGCATAACTTTTTTCTAGATACCTACGGCAGTGGGGGATGTGGGTATTTGATTTTTTTTTTTTTTTGGTGGGTCGACATAGAAATCAAGTTTTAGACCTTGCCAAACTTCTTTATCACTGTAGAAATCACTGGTCGCCTGCTCATTTTGTAAATGTTTAGGGATTTTTATTTTATTTTAACAAGTTATTGGATATTCAAATTATGAAAATTTAAGCTTATGGTATTTGACAAGAGTGGGTTGCTCTAGTGGTAAGCTTAGGGTATTTGACTTCAGGTTCTATTGTTCTTGCTTAAAATTTTCTATTTGTTAATATTGGACTTNGAAGAGGAGGGTCAATATAGCGTGTGTCCAAGAGACTAGGTGGGTAGGGTCGAGGGCGAAGGACACAGACGGGTATAAACTTTGGTACTCGGGAGTCTAGAAAGGTAAGAATGGAGTGGACATCTTGGTGGATAGGGAACTTAGAGAGTCTGTGGTCGAGGTTAGACGAGTGAATGATAGATTGATGATTATTAAGTTGGTGGTTGGAGAGTGCACCCTAAACGTCGTTAGCGCATATGCGCCGCATGTGGGCCTAGATGGGGAGGTTAAACAACGCTTCTGGGAGGGGTTAGATGAGATTGTGTGTCAGGTTCCGCCTACTGAGAAGCTATTCATAGGAGGGGATTTCAATGGGCATATTGGGTCGACTACAGATGGTTATGGCAAGGTGCATGGAGGCTTCGGTTTTGGGGAGAGGAACGGAGGAGGTACATCGTTGTTAGACTTCGCTAAGGCTTTTGGGTTGGTGATTGTGAACTCTTACTTTCCAAAGAGGGAGAGGCATTTGGTTACTTTTCAAAATGCGGTGGCGAAGACTTAGATTGACTATCTTCTCCTCATGAGAGGTGACAGAGGAATGTGCAAGGATTGCAAGGTGATTCCGGGTGAGATACTCGCAACGCAACATAGGCTCTTGGTGATGGACGTTGGTATTATGTTAAAGAGGAGGAAAAGGTCTACTCGAGGAAGTCCGAGAATCAGGTGGGGAGCCTTAACTAATGATAAAACCCAAGAGTTGGAGGGGCGGTTGTTGGCTATAAGAGCTTGGAGGAGCAGTGGTGACGCGAGTACTATGTGGTCAGCGACAACAGATTGTATTAGGGAGGTAGCGAGAGAGGTGTTAGGAGTCTCGACGGGCGTCTCTGGTGGGCACAAAGGAGACTGGTGGTGGAATGAAGTGGTTCAAGGTAAAGTGGAAGCTAAGAAGGTGGCGTACCTGAAGTTAGTGGGGAGCATAGATGAGAAGGAGAGGCGAGCATGCATGGAGAGGTATAATACAGCTAGGAAGGAGGCTAAGCTGGCGGTCACAGAGGCTAAGACTGCGGCATATGGTCGTATGTACGAGGAACTGGGGAAAAAAGGTGGGGAGAAGAAGTTATTCCGGCTGGCCAAGTTGAGAGAGAAGAAGGCTCGGGATTTGGACCAAGTGAGATGCATCAAGGACGAAGATGGTAGAGTATTAATGGAAGATGCCCAGATTAAGAGGAGATGACAGACTTACTTTCATAAACTTCTGAATGAAGAAGGGGATCAGGATATTGTGCTAGGCGAATTGGAGCATTCCGAGAGTCACCGTGACTTTGGGTATTGCAGGCGTATCGAGGTTGATGAGGTTATGTGAGCTATGCGTAAGATGAGTAGGGGCAGAGCGACCGGGCCAGACGAGATTCCGATGGAATTTTGGAAGTGTGTGGGGAGAGCAGGTTTGGAGTGGTTGACTAGGTTGTTTAATGTTATTTTAAGGCGAAGAGGACGCCAGATGAGTGGAGGTGGAGTACGATGGTCCTATTGTATAAGAACAAAGGTGATATCCATAGTTGTAACAATTATATGGGTATTAAATTACTGAGTCATACCATGAAAGTGTGGGAGAGGGTGGTTGAAGTGAGGGTAAGGATGACAGTGTCTGTATCCGACAACCAGTTCGGATTCATGCCGGGTCGTTCGACTACAAAAGCCATACACCTTGTTAGGGGGTTGGTGGAACTGTACAAGAGAGGAAGAATGATCTGCACATGGTCTTTATTGACCTAGAGAAAGCATATGACAAGATTTCTAGAGAAGTTCTCTGGAGATGCCTGGAGGCAAAAGGTGTATCGGTTCCCTATATTATGGTGATTAAGGACATGTATGATGGGGCTAAGACTCGGGTTAGGACAGTAGGAGGCGACTCTGAGCATTTTTCGGTTGTAATGGGATTACACCAAGGTTCTGCGCTCAGTCCGTTCTTATTCGCCCTCGTGATTGACGTATTAACACACCATATTCAAGGGGAGGTGTCGTGGTGCCGATGACATAGTTCTGATTGATGAGTCGCGAGCCGGTGTTAACGAGAGGCTAGAAGTTTGGAGACAGGCTCTTGAGTCTAAGGGTTTCAAGTTGAGCAGGACGAAGACGGAATACTTGGAGTGTAAATTCAGCGCTGAGCCAGGGGAAGTGGGTGTGGATGTGAGGCTTGAATCATAGGTCATCCCGAGTAGAGGCAGCTTCAAGTACTTTGGTTCGGTTATCCAGGGGGAAGGGGAGATCGACGAGGATGTCACACACCGTATTGGGGTAG